TTTTTTTTCCTATTAATTTATTTAGATAATGGATAATCATACATCCTCATCATCACCAACATCCTGTTTTCTTTTTGAAAATACAAATGGTTCTATTTATCCGGGTGACTTATCTTTAACTATGATTGAAGATACATCATCATCATCATCATCATTAAATTCATCAACAAATACAAATGGAAGTTTATCTCCATCGTCATCCCATCAATCACTTGGTATATCATCATCATCATCAAATCAGATGTCTTTTCCTTGTTGTGTATTCCGTTGTCGACCTAATTCGCATCCGTTCCAAGAACGTTGCATTCCATTAAATGAACAAGTTAAAGTTGGCCGAGCTGTAGCTCGTCTTAAAGCTCTTCCAAATAATGCCATCTTTGATTGTAAAGTTCTCTCACGTCAACATGCTAAACTTTGGTATGAAAATGGAAAGGTATGTTAAACAACAGATTAATCAACTTTTGTTACATTGATTGAAATCTGTATATAATCTTATATTTGAATTTGATGGAATTATTTCTTATGAGAATAATCAGCGATTAATGGGTATATATTGCAACAAAATATACTCCAAAGTGCTCTATTTATCTAATTGGATGCATGCGATTTAGCTCATGAGGGACCACTACCAACTGATTAATTGCTTTTTTAGCCAAGGCTATATGCATTATATATATCCTAATGTGCTATGAATATCCTAAGAAGAGTTCGTGCCCTTAGCTAATTACTGCTGTTATATTGCATTTTTACCGTCCGTAATGTCTCTCGGGAACAGTCGTTTTCGAAACTCAATTTGGCATTTTTTGTACAGTAAAGAAATCTTAATATAAAGTATATAGACAAAATCAGCGAAAATGGAATATGGCCAATTCTCGATTTGACTTTAATTCTTTATATGTAAAAATATTAACTCTTTCAGCTCACACCTAATTCATTTAGCAAATAACTCTCTAGAATTACAGTGGACAGTTTCGAGAATCTTTATCTATGGTGAAATTTTCAGCAAGATCGGCCTTCGAAAAAACCAGTTTTTCAGAGCGAGACTTTTTGTATTATTATCATCTAGAAATCCTCAAGAAAGGATTTGTACCATTTAGAATTGGTTTTTGAACTTTTCATTCAGTTACAAGAGAAATTTTTGTTTCTATATTCGAACTTACTCGCATTGCTAATAACGAATGAACTCAATTTTTTGAAAAACTTAAACATGTTCAGGAAAAACTGTCAGTAGAAATTCTTTAGGCTGAAGAATTCTCTACAAAACATACTCGGTCATGTCACTATCGACTTATCTGTTTCATAAAAATAGGTAAAAGTAACTTTAGAATCCAGAGATATAGGCATTTTTATTTTGCAAAATTATGTCGTTCATGAATGAAATTGCCCCATGTCTTCTCAATATCGATCTTTATTAATTTATAAATTCTTAATATCAATATTTTTTTAAATAGTTCCTATTACAAGATACAAAAAGTTCAAATGGAACATTTGTTAATAATCAACGATTGGGAAAATGTAATGAAGAAAGTTTACCATTTGAAATTTATTCTGGTGATATTATTCAATTTGGTGTTGATGTTACTGAAAATAATCGTAAAAGTACGATACAGTTTTTCTATATCTTTTATGATAAAATTTTCTATCTCTTGTTGTTGTTTTTTTTGCAGCTACTCATAATTGTATTATTATTGAAGTTAAACTCTATCATAGTGATGGTAATGAAGCACTACCTCGAAGGTAATTTACTAAATTATTCAATATTTAATACAAATGTTTTTTTTTTGTTTTAGTCCTATCGATCGATCTTTAGGTCAAATGAAAGACGTTGATATCAATACTCAAACTTTATATCAATTAGCTCAATATCTTCAAGTAAGATTTAATTAACATTTGTTTTTTGCATATTTAATTCTATCAATGATTTTTCTTTTTGTTCTCTAGGAAGCTATGCATCGTGAGCAAATGCTCGAACAAAAATTAGAATATCTTCAAGGTGTAATACGTGATACACAACAAGCATCGAATGAAGGTTGGCAAGCAATTATTGATGAAGATCGTCTTTTAGCACGGATTAATGCACTTGAAGATCAAATTCATATTTATCATACTAAAGTAGATATGAATTTACTTGAAAATTAATATGATAAGTATTTTTTATGTATTTTTTTTAAGCATCCAAACGAAGATGCTCCAACACAAGAAATAGTTCAATTAAAACAAACACATTGTAGATTTGAAAATGAATCAAAAGTAAAAGAGAAAAAAAAAATGTTTATTGTTTTTTTGATTTATTTAATAAATGTTTTGTATTTTGAAGGAAAAATTAGAAAAAGCAATACTTGAACGAGCAGATGCTATTAGTCATAGTAAATCTTTAGAATGTTCATTACAAATGGCACAAGATGAACTTAAAAGATTTGACGAACAAAATGAACAACATAAACAAGAAATTCAACAACTTGTACAATCACTTGATGAACAACGTTCTTTACTTACAGAATTCGAACTTAAATTTAGAGTAAATTGTCTTTGTTCTTTTTTTTTTTATTCAAATTGAAAAATTTTTGATTTTTGTATTCAGGAGTCTCAAACCCGATGTACTGACCTTGAAAATGAACGACAACGAATACAAACTGAATTCGAAAATTATTATCAACGAACACATCATTTAGAAGAATTACAACAACAATCTCCCACCAGTAATAATTCAGATCAAATTAATCAGGTATTTCAATTTTTCCTTAGAAAATTTCAATGTATAAATATTGAGTTTTCTTTTTCCTTTAAGAATGG